CAGACAGACGTTTCACCTCCTCTCTGTCCCTGGTTCCATCTGCAGTGTGTTTCTGACAGTAAGGTCCGTTCTTCCAGGCCTCAGCATCTCCACAATCACAGAACCCTCCTCCTCCAGACGTGGTCATCTGGAACAGAACCAGAACAGAACCAAGTGTCTTTTTATCTGTGACATTCCTCTGCCAACACAGTAACACACACAATAACACAAACACACACAGTGACACACAGGTGCGTCACCTGCAGCTGACTGCAGTCTCTCAGAGTTGCTGCTGTCAGTTGCAGCATCAGCAGCAACTGACAGCAGCAACTCTGGGCAGAATACTGGGGGGACGAGGGGCGGAGCCTGTGTTTACCTGTCAGCAGGTGTGAGTGAATCTAATAAACAGCTGCTGCAACATCTGTGCTCTCACATCAACCACCTGTTGTGTGTGTCTGAAGGTTGACACCTGAGCTCAGTGTCCTCACAAAGACAGGAGAGTACTCACCCTGTAGCGATGCTCTTTGTGAACGCTGCCCAGGAAGCACTGCATGCAGAGGACACAGGTGGGGTCGGCAGCACACTCCCTAAACACACACACCTGGTTAGCATCTGGACACAGACAGCACTGCTACACCTTCTCTCCTTTACAGTAACGTGTCCCTTACCTGCCTCGATGTGTTACCTGTCCAGGTGTGTGTCAGGTATCTGTCCAATAACATGTGAACTACCTGTTCATTTGTTTGTCAGCTACATTTCTAGGTGTGTTACCTGTCCAGGTGTGCGTCAGGTACCTGCAGGAGTAGGTGGGCTCTCCCACCTTGAAGACGTGTCCACACAGCGGTGACGGCTGGTTGTTCTCCTGCAGCAGCGCCAGGCCGGTAGCAGGCTCCTCCCCCAGCAGAAGCCACTCCAGAGGAGCCAATAGGAGCAGCTGACAGGCCAGCTCCTCCCTCTGCTCCTCCCTCTGCTCCTCCCTGCTGCTGCTGCCACCGCTCGGGCCCAAACAAAGGATTCTGGGTACATAAACGGCCAGGTGACGGTACACCTCCTGCTGCAGGTCGCCCGCCGCCAGCCACCGCTGAGAAGGAGGATGATCATCATGAATGACAGGTGACGGACAGGTGACTAGATGGAGGTGTGTTTATCAGTGAACACTCCTGATGCATAACAACAGTAATGACAACAACGATAATAACACTGATGATGAGCGGTGAAGAATGTTGTACAGGGGCCTTTTCATTTAATACTACAGTACATACAGAGTGGAGTAATGCTGTGGAGTACTACAGTACATCAGTGTAAATTTCCCCCAACTGGGGATCAATAAAAATAAATATTTTCTATTCTATTCTAAATACAGATTTATCACGAAATAAACAAAATGTTCTCCTTTCTCTCTGCAGTCACTTTCTGGTCTCAGCTTTATCTGATTGGTTACACATCATGACTAACAGCCAATCACAACTGTTGTTTACACAGAGAGACAGATGAGCACATTAGCGGAGCTGTTTGAAAGTGAAGCAGCAGAAACTGCTGAAGATTTAATAAACAACAGTTTACACAAACATTCTTAATATTGCAGAAAGACCCCAATAATTCCCTGTAGGTGGCAACAAGCGGTGCAGCTGGAGGCGAGTCTGCTGATGCTGCTAGGCTAATGCGAACACTGAGAGGTTAGCTGTGCCTCTTTGCCTGCTGCTAATACAATCTGAAGCAGCGTAATATGTTTGAAGGTCAGATAACTTTAACTCTCTGTGCTACCTGACAGATTTGTCTCTCTGCAGAGACACAACCTGCAAAAACAAGAAGCGCAAACATCAACACAAATCACAACATTAACTGCTTTCACAGTGGCTAATGCTATGCTAACGGCTAAGCTAGTAGGCAGCTACAGATTAACCTAAAACTGAGTCGGGAAAACAGATCTGAATGAATCCAAGAATTAAAACTGTTTCAGATCCCTTTGGGTTTAACCAGATTAGCCTCCAACTGCTTTTAAAAACTTTCTCTGCAGATTTACTCCTCCACAAAATCACCTCGATTATTCTACACTGATTACTTCTTTACAGTTATTCAAGTCATCGGGTCAAACTTGCTGCCATTCTTTATATCAAAGACAACCTATGAATCTCTGTGTCAGGTTGCTCTCACATCACGCAGCCCTGCAGTACAATGGGAGGAGTTTTATCACACACTGGATCTTAATGCCAGTGTTCACTTATTCAGATAATCAGACAGCTGACATCCTGAGAGCTCAACTATGAAGACACATTATGGTTCTATATGTAGAGCCTAGCCCTGTGATAGACTAGCGCCCTGTCCAGGGTGTTCTCTCCCTTCACCCTGAAGCAGCTGGGATAGGCCCCCCCGTGACCCTGATGAGGATTAAGGTGTAAAGATGATGGATGGATGATGCTGAGCCTAAAGTCAGAGTTTTTAGTGTCACAAAGGTGTCTCTCTTTAAACCTGCTAGGTCTCCATGGTAACTGATGCTGTGGAGCTAGATCTCCATGGTAACTGATGCGAACCTGGTCCAGGTTCTGCTCAGGGTCTCCCTTTAACCAAACTGTTTCCTGATGATGATGATGTTTTATCTGCTAACATGCTGAGCTGTGTGTCACTAATATCACTGAATGAAGCCGTGGAGCTACAGCATCACACTGTAAACATCACGTTGCCATGGGAACCAGACGTGTATTTAGTTGCTGATGCAGAAATCACATAAATATGTTTTAATGTTTGGTTCTGATCTGCTGTCAGGTCCGTTTCCTCTGCTGCTGCTGCAGCTGATAGAACGGATCAGAACATGGATCATTCTGCTGGTATTGATCACAGAGAACATCCAATCAGTAACATTGATTCACTCTGATTGGGCCAAAAGTTAAAGTGATTTCCTGCATTCTGGGACAGAGTCAGACCTGAATGAGCTTCAGCACCAGATCAGGTTTAAATGTATGAAGGTTAAAGCTTCACACCTGAAGTGTGTCACCTGTACTGAGGTTTTATTCAGAGCTCAGAGTTTCTGATCTAAAAGTTCATGTTTCTACAGAAATAAAATCTTTAACTGAAAATGAAGAGAGAAGCTTTGTCACTGCAGCAGTAGCTTTCATAGGAACACCTGAGCAGATGTTCAGCATCCGTTGCCATGGTGATGTACCCCTAGTCCTGAAGTTACCTCCAAAACATCAGATCCTGCCTCATCCAGGTACTGGTCAGGTTTACATCCTCTAACTCTCTGTTCAACCCTCCGAGCTGCTCCTGTCTCACCTACTCTGCAGTATAAAGTCCTGCAGCTCCACGGAACCAGAACAACATGAAGAAGGAGTCAGAACTCAGAAATGTTCTGACCTGGACGTTCATGTTCCTACAGCTGATAAAGAAAGAGGCTGACAGACTGAACCTGCAGTAACACGGACTCACAAACACACACAGTAACGTCCAGAACCTGACGGAACTGAGCGGTGGAACCTGTTTCAGAACCCATCAGAGGGTGTTAGGGTTCTGCCTGAGGGAATGACAGCAGCTGGTTCTCACGTCCAGATGTCCCACAGTAGCAGCTAGCCTTACACTTAGCATTAGCATCAGCTGCTTTAGCGTTAGCTGCGTTAGCATAGCTGAAAAACAACAGATTAGCGTCCAGAGTCGGCGCTCAGCGGCGGACTGAGCTCCACCGGAGGCCGGGAAGGAAGCACACAGGCAGCGGGGCGAACAACTCGAAGAGCCGCTTACCGACGCGGTGTCTTTGGCGGAGAAACTGAGGAACTCGGAGCATAAAGCGGACGGTGGGTCTCTGTCGGTCTGGGCCGCCGCCATCTTCCCTCCTCTGAGAGCGACAAGAACCCGGAGCCGGAAGGCCGCTGCGGGAGGGGCGGGGCCAGTGGGAGGGGCGTGGTGCGTCGTGAAATGGGCGTGGCCTTTCGTCTTCGTAAACGTTCAGTCTGTTTTACCTGTAAGACAAAATGTGAGCTTCAGTGTTTGATCAGGGGGCGCTGACTGAGGACAGGATGTGATGGAGCGTTTTCCTGATTCAGGAAGTTCTTATCTTATCTGATATCTGTGGGAAGGAACATCTGTTGCTTTATTAAGGTTCTACTAGTGTATAGTTTTGACTTTTGCTTTTAAAGGCATCAGTGTGAAACCAACATAAAAGAAAAACAAGAGATATTTAATAAAACAGAACGCAAGAAAAACAGTTTATTTCTATATTTAATTGTTCTTCAATCAAATTCAGCAGTATTTCATTCATTTTACAAGCATTTGTTTCGACATTCAGGTCTCTGCATAATACACATCTGGTTTGGGTTCACTATCAGCTGGTTTCATCAGCACAGCCGCCCGACTCACCTGATGGAGGCTGCAGGTGTCAGTCTGCTCACTTCACAGCTTCCCATTCTCCTTCTGCTGCTATGGAGTGACAGAGGTGCAGCAGACCATGCTACACTGCACAATGACACAAACGGGCTCCTCTGGTCTCTGGTTCTGATCCGTGCTGCATCTACTCATTGATCCAGTAGGATGGATTCTCCTTCAGTCTCTCTGAGGAAACTCTGGCTGCAGTTCACCTGAAGCTCTCTGAATGTTTCCTGTTGGTCACAGCTGAGTCAGAACCAGGAGGAGGAAGGTTCTGGTTCAACAGGGTCAGAGCCAGGAGGAGGAAGGTTCTGGTTCTACAGAATCAGAAGCAGTGGTTTTATTTTTGGAGAATTTTAAAACAAGACTTGAACCATAAAGTGATTTTTAATGAAACATTACGATCTCATGAAGCTGGGTTGATTTTCCCAACAGAACCACAGGTCACAGATGCTGTGTTCAAGGACTGTCTGAAAGTTTAAAACCTGATCAGTCTGTTTCTGTACTTTCTGGCCGTTGAAGAAAACAGCCTTTTTTGTTGTTGTAGTTTTTATTTTCAACATTCGTTTTTAAGATGCTAACAAAGGAGCATTTGTGGGAAGAATACCGTTACAATAAAAATCTGTTTCCATCCACTTAAAACAACGAAAATTATACAAAGTCAGACCTTACAGGCTTCACATACTCAGTCCATCTTGTACAACAGGTCCCTTTGAATTCTGAGAGTCAATGAGAGTTTTTCCATAATGTAAATTTATTGAATTATGTTGATGGACCCGCTTGGCGTCCCGGTGAGGACACCTGGGATCTTTGTGCATGGAGTCTCCATGTTCTCCATGTTCTCCATGTTCTCCATGTTCTCCATATGGAGTGGAAGCCAAATGCGCCCATTGCTTTATATAAAAATTCCCATCGTACTGAATCGAATGCTTTTTCTGCATCCAAACTTATTATAAGAGTTTTCAAATTGCGTTGCCTTCATGATCAGAAGTGCTTTTCTAATATTATCATGTGTCTGCCTTTGTCTAATAAAGCCAGTCTGATCCTTGTTTATCAGTTCTGGTACATTTACCTCTCGACTGTTGA